TCCAGGCTGCAGTCATATGCTTAACACAGGAGAGGTCGTGAGACGAGAGGCTCCAGGCTGCAGTCATATGCTTAAAACAACTTTTCTACCAGGAAAATCTACCAGGATTCCTAAAATACATTACAAAATACAATATTATGTTTAAGACAACTATAGTGTCAGACGCGAGCTTTACAAAATACAATATTATGTTTAAAACAACTATAGTGTCAGGCGCGAGCTTTTATTCTGAAATTTAGAAGCTCGGGGGGCGTGGCTTCTTTATCACCAGACGAGAGGTCATGATATGAGAGCCATGAGACGGGACGCTCCAGGCTGCAGCCATACAGTCTTGCTAGATTTGGGGTTGAATATCTTCTCCTCTGTTTTATTGATGTTGATGATGAGAAAATGTTTACCACACCACTAGACAAAATTCTGGATCTCATGTCTGTACCTACACAGCTGTGTCACATGTATCAGACATGAGATCCAGGATGGCTGTATCATCAGTATATGTTATAATGCCATTGTCAGCAGTGTTGGCCCAGCTGCAGGAAATGTTCACATTATTTGACTAAAAAAAATATATGCATTTTAACAGCAGTTTGGACCACTCTAGCTAGTAGCTACTTTATAGTCTGTACATAATCCTATACAGTGACGTGATAGTTTTTCTATGCCAGGCTACTTTGTACTAGTAGGTTTAGTACAACAATAATGGTCTTTTGACAGAGAGAGGAGGGAGAGAGATTTTCTAAGGACTCTAGAAACCCATTTTCACTGAGACATATGAGGTGAGAGGTTAAGAGACCCCTTTAACCAGTTTTACCAAAATTCATACCAAAATGACACAAACACAAGTACGAGATCGAGCTGGTCTAAACTGTGTAAAAATCCAGCCATGACTACTCCAAACAGAGTAACTCCTTGCGTTTGTAGGGTCACTCCAGAGGTAACTTCCTGCAACAACTCAAATCTCGCGAGATGTGAGATTTCAGAGCCAGACTTTCACACTCTGAGTGTTTTGACTTGCCACAACGAACATGTCCAAATTTTTACCCGATTTTGACCAACTGGATCTGGATGAGCCATTTGAATTTGAAGACCGCCCGTATTTATTTGAACACGGAGTACACGGACGTACACGGACGAGGAGAGAGAGGGAGCAGCAACAGGCAGAGGAACATGTCTGAATCCAGCTAAAGGTAAACACAGACATTCATTTCTCCTTTCTGTTATGTTGGTGGATAATTATACTAACAATCTGAGCCTGTCTGTGTGAAAACAATACACTTTTAGCGGGCGTATTTTGACGTTGTTTGACGCTGTCTGAGTGCCCTATTATTTAATATAGCACACGCTCACGGGCTGCAGGCAGGTCAGCCCTAGCTTCGTAAAGGGGAAATGTCAAATATTGAACATCCTATCACTCATAGGGCCCAGGTTGAAAAAAACATTAGTTCCCCTTTAGTGAGCTCACATCATGCATGATTAGCCAGTAGCTTTCAACCCATTGTGTCACAGCTAAAGCTTACTTAGCAAGAATTTAACTTTTTCTTAAACTGTAACTTACAGTGGGCTGCTTGGTCATCACTAAAATAATAATTAAAAAAACTGTCATTCACTCACCTCGTCTGTCAGCTAGCAGTATCGTCATCTTCCTGTCAACTGAATTCAAGTTTTCCGTGTTCCGCCGATACATCAGATAACTTCCTTTGTGTCATTTCAAAATCAAAGCTGTCCAGTGTGTTAATATGTTTACCATGCTGTTTGGGGCTTCTTCTATTTTTTGCTCTTTGAAATTTTTACTGAGGTCCGGACCTTGGTGACCTCATAGCTGGCTATGGCCATGCTGCTGGGTATGGTCAGTGAGGAATAGGTGGTACCACTTAGTAATAACTGTCATCATCAATAAAGGTAAAATATAGCTCTTTAGTAATATTTAGTGTCAGCTTTAGGAAACAACAACATCGTCCCATTTTTTAAAATATTTTTTAGTAAAACTATATTGAGATTAACCTTTCAAATTTCAAAGCTACCAGCTGGTTAAATAACTGACGGTGTATTTATGAGATATTATATGTCAGAGGCTGCAAATTATAAAATCGTTCTATACTGCATATCCACCAAATTGAATGCTTTCACATTCAAAGTTTCATCTGTGGGTCTGATGCCTTTATAAAGTGAAAGCAGAGAACATTGCTGTTTATTGTATGAAGCTAACACAGCAGATTCTGTGACCCAGCAGCCAGTGGTGCGGTGGTTTGCACCGTTGCCTCACAGCAGCCCTTTTCACAGATGGCACTATAGAGCCGCTACAAAGTTCCTTCTTTAGGCATCCTTTGCATTTTTGCACAAAACCAAACAACAGCAGAATCATTCCTCTCCACTGTGTGATTTTAGACAGCGTGTGACAGGCGTGACACGTAACACAACAGCATCAGCCTCTAGTGTACAACATGTGCATTGGCAGTATAAACAATAACAATGACATAACATCACGCCACAATGATCCCATCCTGGCAGCTGTCCAGTTTATACAGACATCCTTTGGGCGCTGTTTTTGCCTTTGATGCAGGGTTACCACATTTGATTTGTGAAAAACCAGGACATTTGACGTGCAATGCAAGGCGTGATGCAGGGTGTTAAACCATACTTGCAAATATACTTTGTTAACAGCTGTATTGCAAAATTACCTCAGGGAGATGTGCATATAATTTAGAGTGAGACTCAAGGCCATTTTAAGCACTCGTTTATTCACAAAGGTAAACTTTCGTATTTCTGCTACTAATAAAAAAGAAGTATAGGCATATGGCTAATCGTCACTGTGTTCTACTGAATTTTTACCTGTTCACAGACACGGGAGTGGACGTCTAAACATAAAGAAGAGAAAACAGAATAGCATACAAAGAATCCTGTTTTTTTTGGAAGTCTGATATTCTAAATAAGAAGTTTATTTAGTTTATTTATTTTTACAAAAAAACAGACAAATTGTGTCCCAGGAAATATTGAGGGCAGTCGCACCCAAAAAGAGAACAATCCTGGGAAAACCAGAATGTGTGGTAAACCTACTCCAGTGCCTTCCGTAATTGTACCTTTCATACAGCATGACAAAGCTGAATAAAAGCATGAAATTTTCACCTTGAAGAGGTAGTGTTCTGAGTTCAGGCCAACTGTTCCTTCTGTGTGGAGTTTGTGTGTTCTCTCTGTTTCAACATGGGCGCTCTAGCTTCCTACCACAGTCTAAAGACATGATAATCAAACCCAGGTTTCAGATCAGAGGAAGGTTTTCTGATGTGAGAGTGCAGAGACATTTATATACGTGTGTGTGTGTGTGTGTGTGTGTGTGTGTGGGCGTGTGACAGCACCTTTGTTTTGACATCTCTGCAAATCCAATCCAAGACCAAGTCCAAGACCGAGGATGAGGGTCACAATGGATACAGCCAAGACACCGATCTGTAACACACAAACACACACAACACAAACACATAGATTACAAGTTCAAAGCTGCCTTTGGCATGATTTTCACAATACTGCGCACTTCTCAAGGTTACTGTTTCTGTTGTGCTCTTATAATCAACAGATGCAAATAATTTTAAAGCTGTTGCAGTGGAACTATGTTTAATTTCAGTCTGTAGCTGATTCGAGCAGTAAAATGGTCTAAATTCTGTCTACAAAATAATTACTGTGATGTTATGCTGCATTCCAGTGATTGAGATCATTTATACTGTAATGATCTAGCACATTTCCTCAAACTCTGGAAATCTGATGTGAAGCTATACAATAGCTTGAATTATTAACATTTATGAAAACACAGTTTGAAGCAATTATAATTTGAGTTTCCAGGACTTGATGATGTTTTTCCCTCAGAGGTTTGACTGGAGAAAAAATAAATAACTTTTTATTCATTATTTCCAACAGCAGAAGCAGATTGGTTTCACATCTGTGTTTGTTTTCAGATGTTTTTCATGAAAACAGTTCAAAAGGCAAAGCATTCATCTGTCTTAAATCTGGTGGGCAGATTGCTCCTTGCACACTTATCTGTTAATAACAATGGGCCTCATTCACTAATATTCTTACTTTGTGCACAAAATAAGTGCATACGCAAAATCACCGTGGGATTCATGACACCTGCGCATCGGCCAATTTTGTTCTCACCATCTTGCGTATGTGTGTGAATCAGAATCATTCTAAATTGACAGGCGCGTGCACGCAATTTGTGATGAGCATACTACCACGCCCCCATTTCTCCATATAAGGAAACCACTTGCCTAGAGTTGATTTATGAATGAAGGAAGCGGTTACGCGAGGAGAGAAGTAGTACATTTCATAGTTTGTTAGAAGCGATGGTGCCGGGTCTTACAGGAATGCCATGGGTCATTGTAAGATTGTGGAGGACACAGCATGCCAGGATGATCTTGCACACCTTCTCAGGGGTAAAAAGTAGTTTGCCACCGGCTGTATCCGATCCAAACACATCCAACGGCCCTTAAGCACGCCAAAAGTGCGCTCTACGGCGCGTGTGTGGGTATGTATGTTATTATAGCGCACCTCTTGAGGGGTTTCAGGGTTTGCGTATGGTGTCATCAACCATGTTTTAAGGCCATATGCCCGGTCACCCAAACAATATAACTTTTAACATTAACGGAATAGAGACTTACTAAAAATACTAACTTAAAACAATTGAAATAAAAGACTAGAACAAAAGATGCTCACCAACAAGCCATCCACTTCTCACAGCCCCTGCCTCCAAACGCATTCCCACTGTACTGTTTTGCAAAATAAATGAGTCATGGGTGCCTCCTGGCCAGCGGGCCACAGCCTTAAGGATATGGCAGTCGGCATTACAGATCATCTGCACGCTGATGGAGTGATAGTTTTTCTGTTCATGTTATTGTTAATATTTTAATTGTCACAATGATGAGGGTGAACGTGTGTCAATTTCATGGTAATTTAATCCATTTGGCCAATATATTAGTAAATTAATTATTTTAAAAAATGTTAATTAAATCTCTTTTTCATGAATGTGGTTTTATAGACTCTGCATGTACTTAAAAGGTATGTTTGCATTTTCTAAGTCAGTTCGGCCTTCCTCATTTGTGCGTANGGTTTTATAGACTCTGCATGTACCTAAAGGTATGTGTTTGCATTTTCTAAGTCAGTTTGGCCATCCTCATTTGTGCATACGCATGGTCTGAGGCAGTTCTAAATTTGTTCGCAGAGTAAGAACAAATTCGGGTAAGAAAATATTGATGAATCCCGGATGTGTCAAATGATCGTACGCAGTTTAAGCACAGATTTGTGCGTACGCACTGTTTGTGAATGAGGCCCAATGTTCCTGGTCCGAAGACAAAAATGTATGTATTGTCCCAAAAGACTGCAAATGTGCATGATGGGAACAGTTCGGCAGTGCATTCTGGGAAATTAGGCTTAATAGACAATACAAATGTGTCAGCTGTCAGAGATTAACTACCCCATTCATACCAAGGTAGCAATCTCATCAGTCACTCTGGATGTATTAGGTGTATTACTTTTCTGGATCAGCCAAACACAGACATTTGTGTTTGGTTTTTTATTCTATCAACAGTTTCTCAGTTGATTATCCAGAAAATATACTGTAGAACAATATACACATAGCATAGTAGAGTATTTTATCCACATTGCCTACTCCTTCTTTAAAGAGCTCATAATGTCTCAAATGACATATTGAAGATAAACTCAACCAGATATTTTAGTCACTGTATGTGATACACCAGCTGACTGAGTCACCGTGCCTTTGGGATTAATAAAGTGAAATGATAAATGCAACCTGATTTTGCAGTAATATGAGAAATGACCATAATGTCTTCACATCATAGTCAATTTTAAAAGTCGCAGTTTTAAATAAGTGGTTCATGTTTTGCAGCAGTCACAGTTTAGGTTTAGAGGACGATAATAGTTGGTTAAATTTAGGAAAAGATTGTAGTTTCATTGAAAATAACCATGTACAGAACGTAAGTACATTGTGACACAACATAACTACTTCATGAAACACCATGTAACACAACATCGTTAGGTAAAGTACATAAATAAGTAGACTTTAAATAACTTTAGAACATGGCACTCTTAAATACTTGATTCTGATTGGTCACTCAACACAATTCTGCTGTGTTTATTTCTTGAGGTATCACCACTGCTCTGCTGCTCCGTTGCTAGGGACGCCATAGCAACGGACTGAGGAGCATCAAAATCAGTTAACGTTAGTCCACACAGCTCTCCCAAGCTGGCCTGGAGAGCAGGGAGATCATGTCGGTCACTGAGGGCAGCCTTCGCAGCTACTGGGCACCCAGCATCTCCGACCGGGAGAATTGGAGTAAAATCCTCTCCTCTGCTCCAGAAAACGGCCGCAGTTTGTCCGGTGAACGCCTCTCCTCTGTCAATACACTCTGCCAGCAATTTAATAATATTGATGCCAGTTGTAACATTTGAATGTTTTAGTAGTAAGCCATGTTCTAAGCAGGATAATGTATAGTGAGCCGGTGACAGTTGAAAAATAACTCCCGATAGGGTAATGGGGAATAATATTGATGCCAGTTGTAACATTACCCTGTCGGGAGTTATTTTTCAACAGAGAGGCCAAAATGCAGAGCAATAATGTATTAGCGCATGTACGCAGTTTTTTTCAAACACAGATAAACCAACTGAAAATAGGATACAGTCTCCTTTCCCATTGTCAGCAGACCAGACCTGTGTTTTCTGACAAGTCAAGAATGAAGTCATAATATTTTGAGGGAAAGAAGTCCTGCCCTATAGTCTGTTGTGCAATATGTTATTGCTCTGCGTTTTGGTATCCTCCTCAGACAGTCTGACAGATGCTGAGTCCCATTTGGGACTGCTTCTGCGTAAGATAAAGTTCAGGGAAGCGGCTTTGCACAGTTCTTCATCAGAGGTGGAAAACCTAAACTAGATCTTACAAAGAGTAGGAAGAGCCAACTGTGCAGACAGCATCATACAATGCAAAAAAAGCGAGGTACCAGGGCGCACCATTCCATAGTAGGCCTAGAAATTAAAAGCTGCACATGAGCCTCATCTTTAGCAGGAAAATCCTTGTTGAAAAAAAGCTTCAGATAATGATGGTAAAAGCAAGTATAATGATAAAATTGTGAACAGGCACACAAAAACACCCCCCTTTCAAAAATATTGCTCCAAGCACTGACGTTCCCCCAACATTCTCTGAGCGCCCCTTGGGGGACGGTACTACTACCATTGAGAAATGCTATTTTAAAGTAGTGTTACATCACTTACCTAATCAATCTATCTAGATATGCTAAAAGGTACCTGGTGTGTCGCTATGAGACGTAGAGGGAATCTTTGTCTCTTTCTGCCCTTTCAGTTGTCAGTCTGGTTGAACCAATGTTGTATGTTCAATGTACAAAACATACCTTTCATATAAAATAACATTTGTGAAGAGGAGTTTCTACAACCTTAAAACATCAAAGACCACTCGGTACATATTAGGTAGTCCTAGCAAGCTTTTGTGGCAGGATTGTGCAAACTTTTCAACAGCAGTCTAAGTAAAGGTTGAACAACTATATTGAACAAACCACATCTTGGATTCTCCTGAACTTGTATTCACTATATAAAAATGGCCTGTGTTTGTGCATGGTGGCTTCCCCCCTTGCCATCAATCAGAACCAAAGCCAATACTCACAATAATTTTCTTCTTTTTCGGTGACTCCCTCAACCAACTCATGGCCCCGATTACAAATCTCACAGTGCAGAAAGACAGACAGTTAGAGGTGAAACATCCGACTACTTGAGGGAAAGGGGAGATAAAGTTTAACAGCACTGACCTCTGGACCAGGTGTGAGCAATAGATAAGTAACTGATTGCCAGAACCCAGAGACCTCCTCCACCTCACGTTTCTTTGTTTTCAGCTTGTCAAACCACAGATGACGATGCTTTTGACACCTTTTACCTCCAGAAAGCCACCTGATACATGCGAGATGAAAAGGCAGCAAGAGAGGTTAATGATTTACTGAGATATGAAATACACTTACCTAAACAAACTATCACCCTAGAGATCCAAACTTCCAAGGTAAGACAGTCTGATTGCTGTGCAGATGAGTAACAGCTGATAACTTGAAAATATTTATTATTTATGACAGATATCAAAATTAACTGCAACTAATGGACTATTAATGATGCTGAGATAATATGAGATGTCGACTGCCAGTAACTGTGCAGTCGCTGTATCAAAGCGGAGTCATCAGAAACCTTGAGCCTGGAATTATGACAAATAGCCTCACTTGATAACGCTGATGAGATTTTGAATTGTGAAAAATCAGGACCTTTGCACTGAAAGACTTGCTCTGATTGGTAAAGACTGCAATAAAGTGGAGCATTAGGAAGTCAATGCACCCCCATTTAGTGGTTAATATGATATCTAACCAATCAGTAACACACAAATGGCATTACCTACTTAATGTCAAGTTACATACTTGACATATAGTTATGTAGGTTAGGTTAGGTTTAGGCAAGTTATGTTGTGTAGGTTAGGTTTAGGCAAGTAATGTTCCATAGGTTTAGGCAAGTAAGATTACGTTAGGTTTACACAAGTAAGCTTATTTAGCTTAGGTTTAGACCAGTAAAATAAAGTATTTTAGCTTAAGGAAAAAGAAGTTATGAATTATAGGTTTAGACCAGTAAAGTTACGCATTTTAAGTCTGGGCAAGTCAAGTTATGTATTTTAGGGTTAAGACAAGTAAAGTTATGTATTTAAGGTTCAGGCAAGTAAAGTTTCGTAGGTTAGGTTTAGGCAAGTTAAGTCATGTAGGTTAGGTTTTGGCAAGTAAATTTATGTATTTTAGGTTCAGGGAAGTAAAGTCACGTGGGTTAGGTTTCGACAAGTAAAGTTACATAAGTTAGGTTCAAGCATGTAAAGTTGCATAAGTTAGGTTTAGGTAAGTAAAGTTACATAGGTTAGGTTTTGGCAGGGAAAAGTACGTAGGTTTGGTTTTGGCAAGTAAAGTTACGTAGATTAGGTTAAGGCAAGTTGAGTTATCTATTTTAGGTTTAGGCAAGTAAAGTTATGTATTTTAGGTTCAGGCAAATTTAGTTACATAGGTTAGAGTTCAGCAAGTAAAGTTACATAGGTTAGGTTTAGGCAAGTTAAGTTATGTATTTTAGGTTCAGGCAAGTAAAATTACATAGGTTAGATTTAGGCAAGTAAAGCTATGTGTCTTAGGTTAAACAAGTTATGTATTTAGGTATTTTAGGTTCAGGCAAGTGAAGATAAGTAGGTTTCAGACTTGGCAAGTAAAGTTATGTATTTTAGGTTTAGGCACGTAATGCTATGTAGGTTAGGTTTCGGCAAGTTAGGTCACGTAGGTTAGGTTTAGGTAAGTAAAATTATGTAGGTTAGGTTTACGCAAGTAAAATTACGTATTTAGGTTTAGGCAACTTAATTTACATAGGTGACGTTTGGGCAAATAAAGTTACGTAGGTTAGGTTAGGGCAAGTAAAGCTACATAGTTTAAGTTCAGGCATGTAAAGATACGTAGGTTAGGTGTGGGCAAGTAAATTTACATAGGTAAGGTTTTAGGCAAATAAAGTTATGTATTTTAGGTAGGGCTGGGCAATCATACGATCTCAATTCGGGATTGCGATAAAATTTTGATCAATCTCAATTATCAGCATGGGACGTTTTGAATCGATATCATATGGCAAAAGTAAGTGCAACAACAGCATATCAGAGTCTGCCGGCTACCGTATGCCATGCAGGCAGGATACGCCCACTTCTCATTGTAAGCGTGGCTACAGTTGTGACGGGAGGTAAACAGAGAGAGAAGTTGGAAAAAGGAGAAAAAAATGAGTGAAACTGAAGTCGAGGACGGCAAAAATAATGCAGAACGTGAAAGCGACATCACTATATCATCCGGAACTAAAGATATTGTTGAAAAAAAGAGATAACGTGACGTCAGTTGTGTGGAAGTGGTTTGGGTAACGTTACTTCAAAAGTGACGAGGAGCAGATGAAGCCGGTCTGCAAAATATGCTGGCGGTTGGTATGACCAGGTCGGGAAACACCACAAACCTTTTCAATCACCTGAGACGGCACCATCCCAGTGACTACACAGAGAGTCTAACTATGCGGCCTCAAGTTGCCCCGACTCCACACACACAGCCTTGCAAGACCCCTTCATCTGCTGTTAGCGTCACTAGCAGCAGCTTAGCAAAACAACAGTCTATCCAGTCGTGTTTTGCAGCCATTATCCCATATGAGAAGTATTCAATGCGGTAAGTTTATATACAATGTTTCAGTAAGTTAAAGCTTTTATTTGACATTGCTTCTCGTTCTTTGAGTTTACATATGGCTAAAGGGGAAAAAACAACCGTAAATGGACAGCATGATTAGCGTTGCTTTCAAGGTCCCCCCAAAAAACAGGAGAAAAAAAAGGCTGAATATTCGATTTTTTTTTTCACAATCGAATCCCGTGCCATCAAACAAAGCTTCGAAGCTTAGGAATTTTTGGGTCAGCCCTAAATCCCACATGCAAGGGGCTAGCCATAAGGTTGTTGTTTTCAGCAAGTTGGCCTTGAATAGCTGATGTTGAGCTGTAGAGCTGTGTTACTTGTTATGACCCAAGGTGTATTTTAATAAACCTGCCTTTGGTTTAATTTATTCTTTCAAGCTTTATTCCTTCTCATCTTATCTGAGTTCTGTTATATGTTTGTGCTCCATAGATTTAATTGCAAACTACAGCTGTTTAGTAAGTTAAAGATGCGCTGCTAACGACAGCTTGAAGTGGGGATGAAGTCTTAAGGTTTTTTTGGAAGGTCTTAAAAAAGTCTTAAAAAGGTATTGAAATTAACCTCAGGATTCCTGCATATACCCTGTAAAAACATTTTGTTCTCAATATTGGAAAAGCATATTATTTAGTGTTTTATGTTATTAAACTTTTATTGTTATCTCTTGTTTCTTCAAGCTCCATCAGGATGCTCCCCGAACTGGCAAAATCAGCAAAAACTACATATCATGATAAAAATTGAGATCGATCAATATGAAAAAATATATCGTGATAACATTTTTTGCCATATCTCCCAGCCCTAATTTTTTTTTTTTCAACAAGTGTGTTTATTATTTTTCAGAGAAAATTATCACAACCCTACACAAATAACACAGGTGCAAAACAGAACTATCACAGTAAGGCTCATCTTCAACAAGCTAGATATGACAGGGCAATAGAATGCAATATTTGGCACATTTCAAAATCCAGAAGAGAAAAGCACTACAAATATGAATAAAAATTACAACAGAAAAACATACATACTAAATACGTAGCAATACTCAGTTGCTGATGGTTGACATATAAGAGGAGCATGCCTCCAATGCTTTCCTCCCTTCTAAGAACACCATGAAAGATCTCCACATACTGTCAAAGATGGAGTATTTACCCTTCAACATAAAAGTGAGTTTTTCAAGTGCAAGAGAGTCTGAAAGTCCTGTAAGCCAGACACTAACGCTTGGTTTGGTAGTGGATTTCCAAGATTTGGCTATGGTATGTTTAGCTTGTAACAAACAAAATGTAATCATAGTCTTGTTTGCCTTGCTTAGGTTATGATTTACAGGAAAAATACCAAAGATACACAGTTTGGCACATTTTAACAGATTTATCCCTGTGACATGTAAAATCATATCCATCACTTCAATCCAAAAACTCTGGATCTGTGGGCAGTCCCATATGCAGTGATATAATGTGCCCTTTTTACCACATTTATAGCACGTGTCGGGATTATTGGGATTGAATTTATTTAGCTGAGTTGGTGTAATGTATACTCTCATATTCCACTTATATTGAAGTAATTGAGTGTTGAGTGTAAATGAGTGTTTACTGTTTGTGTTTGAGATTTTAAGCAAATCTTCTCCCAGTCCTCAGTTGAGATTTCAGAATTTAAGTCCTCACACCATGCCAATCTTTTATTGTCTGAGGAAACTTGGGATCCATCCATGATTTTTGCACACAGACTTGAAGTCAATCCCCTCTTAGAGTGCTGATTTGTTACTATTTCTTCTATAGAGGTGAGAGTGGGTAAAGATAAAGATTTCTGTGTCTTAAATATATATTTTCTTATCTGCAAAAATTAAAAAAAATGTTTTGGTTGGATGTCATACTTGCGTCTCAGGTCCTCAAACGACATGAGAGTGTTATTGTTGAATAGATCAGCAATTTTACTCAGGCCTTTGTTTGCCCAGATTTTGAAGCCCAAGTCTTGTTTACCAGGTGTAAAATCACTGTTACCACAGATCGGTGTAAATTGAGATAGTACAGGTATTTCACCTCTATGTTTATGTACCTCGTACCATACCAGAATAGTGTTTTTAACAAAAGGATTACATGTTAATGTCTTTAGTTCTTTTAATTTAGCTGAATATAAATATGAATTGAGTGGTAGAGGGGATGTCATACTTCTTTCCATACTCATCCAAGACCATGGTGTTTCCTGTGAGAACCAATAGGAGGCAGTAGTGAGTTGGGCTGCCCAATAGTACCATTGAAGGTTTGGGAGTTTCAAGCCTCCTCTATCATAGGAGAGATAAAGCAAAGCTAAGCGAAGTCTAGCCCGTCTGTTGTTCCAAATGAAATTACAGAACATGCTTTTCATCTTTGAAAAAAACTGAATAGGAGGACCAAGTGGAATGGAATGAAAGAGGTAAAGAAATTTTGGAATAACAGTCATTTTAAGCATATTGATACACCCTATCATGGAAATTGGTAACATGGACCATCTATTGATAGATTCAGAAACTGACTCTATCACTGGGTTATAGTTTGCCTCTACTAAA